CCTGCTGTATAATGGCTTCCAGCTCCTCCTGTTTATTGCCCATGCTACGTGCGTTGGTATAGACACATCTAGCGTCTCAAAGTTTCTGTAAGTTGCTTGGAAGTTTGCCTATAGGCCAAAGCTTTAAATAAGCATTGGAAGTGCATATGAACTAAAGCCACATGAAGACTTGATGTTAATGTCCTTCACAAGTCCAGAATGACTAAGTTCTACTTGATATCTGAAATGCCACCAGTAAACACAGCATCGGAGTTCTTTAGACTATTTGTGTGTGTTTGGATATTTGTAACTTCTCTTGCTGTTTCTTCTGTTTTGCTTTCCCATGGCTTCAGTGCAGAGTAGAAGAGGTGAGGCAAACTCTGGTGATCTAAAGAGTGGAAGTGCTTAATGTGTTGTCTGTGCAGTGATTAGGCATGGGGAGAAGTACAGCTTCCTGCATGCAGTGATTGATGATGTAGCATGAGCAGGAAAAAATTGTAGAGCAGATGCATGCAACCGCACAAACACATTTTATATACATATAAAGTTTTCATATATTATAATTATGTGTATATATATTTTATTTCTGGTTATAGTGTAGCAACATAGTTTAAGTAGAATATTGCTGAAGTATTGTTGTCTCCTCTGACAGTTCCTGGAAACCTTTATCTAAAATGCAGATGTGTATCTGCTTTCCCTGCTGCCTTGGTGTAGTGTCAAGCTGATGTTACATGAGGGAGGTGGAGGACTGATCATGACCAGTGGCTGAGTGCATCTTGTTTCAGTGAGAAACAAACCTCAGCTTTGGGTATAATAGTTTAATCGTCGGATTTATCCTCCTGGGTCTTCTTATTCCAGGTGAACTCCTATCACCAGTAGCGTTGTCTGGTGTGGGGTGAGATAGCCTGACTTAAAATAAAGTGCATCCTAGACAAGGGAAGTGCTTTGAAAACCCTTCACAAGACCTGCCTTTACTTGAGAGAGACTCCTGATGGAATAAGTGTATTCTGAGCTTTAGTCACTGTAGAAGGGCTAGAGGCCTTAGCTCTGATATGAGGTTCTGCCAGGAGTTGATGACTTAATTTTTTTGACTTAATTCCGTCACCCTTTTAAACTGTACCTGTGTTACATAGGTATAAGGACTGATGTTTTACTTCTGAAAGTGTAAGCTTTCTTGTACGCTGTCTTCTGTGAGACACAAGAGTGATAGTATAAAATCTAGACACAGGAATTTGAAAAGCCTCAATCTAGCACGAAAGACTGAAGGCCTAAATGCTATTTTTTTCCAAAGAGCAAGCTGTCTTTAAATGGGTTCAAATCCTGGCAGCGTTTGGGTCCTGTCCCTTTCTTAAGCTAAATTTGTATTTGGTATCGTAATATCTGAAGTCTAGGAGAAACTGATGTTTAAGTTGTTCTTAATTGTGGTTTTCTTTAGCTCCAGGTTAGTTTTAATTGGAGCTCTACGCTACATTCCTTTTTAATACGTGACCTTCAAGATCCTCAGAGGTTCTTGACTATTTTATTGTTGGAAGACACTTTATACTGTACTGATTGGCTTGTAATGGCATGATGGCTGCTCCTCATGTTTGTACATATTCTAAAGAGTGAAATTATTTGAGATGGTTCTGTTTAAGAAAAAGTGCATTTCTAAGTCAACAGATACACTTAGCAATCACTTTAGCACTTCATATAAAGTATTGCAGCTTCTCTACAATATTACAATGGTTGAAATTCTACCTGTGTGAGGACCATCATTGTAATGGACAGTTATAGGCCTGTCATAAAGTCTTAAATGTAGGGTGATGGTTCTGGCATCCAGTGATAGTACAGCTAAAGCTGGGTGGCTTGACCATATAGGATATCTCCTTACAAAGTGACACTGTCAAATGTGGATGCTGCCTGGAAAGGTGTGTTTTTCACAACCAAAACACTTGCCTTCTACTGTTAATCTGTTTGAGTGTGGAAATACTTCATGCCAGACAAAGCTGTCTAAAGGAGGGTCAATCACATACTCTTCAGACAGGTAAACCAGCAGTGACCAAAATGATTCATTAACTTCCTAAAAGGGTAACTAATGAACATGAAACTTTTCTGAACAGCGGAGCATGCAGTTTCAGGAGATGGTGTGTGGTTTGGTTTTTTGGGATGGGGTGTTTTTTTTTGCATTTTAGTAACTGGCAAATTGAACAGTCCTCGCCCTGGAGCTTCATGTTGCAGAGTAGGAACATTATTTTTTTAGTTACCTTCTGTTTAGGATGCTAATAGTTAAAAAGCGTTAAGTTGAACTGGCTTCTCTGTGGTGATGCATTGCACTAGAAGGGCAGTTTGACTAGTGTTTGGGAGGGAGAAAAATACATGGTCGTAGAACATCCAGTCTGAGCAGCTGTAGCAATTGATGCAACTATCTTTTTTCTTTTTTCTTTAAATCTAGATAAAGCTTCACCGAGGAGGTTGCCCTACAAGAGGGCACAGAAGAGATCAGCGGGCTCTGATGAGTAAATGTTAACTAGTACAACAGCTGAACCTTTACTAATCCTGCCTGTTTGGTTTTTTTTGGATTGGAGTAGTGCAGGGAATCTGTATCACCATAAGGAAAAATACTGCTAAATATTTGGACTGAACAGAGTAACTGAATGGTGTTAATATTACTGAAGTTGCACTTCTCTTTTTTTTTTCTTTTTTTGTTAATTGTTTTTTGGGGGGGGATCATGTGTGTGCGTGTGTAAGCAGTTGGTCTTAACAAAAACCATGTTACCTAAAATGTGCCTTTAGAGTTCTTTGTAATGCTGGCTTGTCATCTGTATGCTGTCTTTGAAGGATTTTTCTCCTCCCCCTAATCTGAATGTCTAGTGACTTACGCTGTCTTGATTGTATCATGTCCGTATCAGAATCTGTATGCATTTTTCTTTTTCAGTAAGTAACTTTATTCTCTACAGCGTGCACACACTGAAGTTTGTGTGCGTGGTCCTATTTCAGTGGCAAGGCACTGATCATCTAGATTTCTGCATAGTTTGCATTCTAAAGGCACAATTGGGTATAGCTGCTCTTTTGATCTGGGCATGCAGTGACCTAAAAATCTGAATTTATCTGCGTAGATGTTAGGAAGACTCTTTACACAGCAGCAGAAATTGTGAAGCATGGAATTTGTGTGCTGAATTGGTATTACTACATAAATTTTTTTTATACCCAACTTGTTAAATGGTTAGTTATTGAGTTGTGCCAGCAGCTTAGGTATTCTGATTATATTGGTAGCTCTGCAGTGTTTACTCAAGAAATTACTGAATAAGCCAGAACAACTTTTCAGTAAGTTCTTGGTGTTCTCTCAAAAACTAGAATGTCATATGTATCAAAATGTAAACCTTTCTTAAAGCTTTACATGGGGCAAAGACTTTGTGTTTACTCTAGACACTTGAAACTGAATTTGAATAACTGTTAGCTTCAAATAATCCTTTTCGATGGCAAACTACTTAATTCACCCTTTGCAGTTTTTAAATCTCAAGCTTCTTTCCGCTGGTCAGTACCTTCGTCTGAGGGGTGTTTTTTTATCACCTTGTCTTTCCTACTAGTAACACAGATGCATCTCCATTATTAACTACGTTAGTTCAGTACTAAAGCAGAAAAGGTATATGCAATCAAAATGGGATTTTCTTTGGTGGCAAGCACAGCTTACATGATTACCAGGAACTCTAAGGTATTGATCCACTTGTGTTGCATTCAGGAATTTCACTGGCAGTGAAGAGAGCAGGTAATGCAGAGTGTCAGTTTGCTGACATTCTGGCACTCAGACAGTGCTTAAATTGTTTGCATCTCAGCTGCATCCCTTCCTGTGTCTGAGGGTTATCTGGAAGCTTGGTGAGTTCAGAAAGAGGTGTTGATTTGTGACCTCTGTTCCCTTCTTTTCCTCCCCTTCCCAATCCCCATAAGTGACAGTGCCCTTTTAGATCTACTCTTGCTCTGCAGGGACTGAGCTTCTGAGCCCATGAATGCTGAGCAATACTTGCAAATCATGTTCTAGCGTGTTTGAAGCCTCTAAGCTCTGAAACTACCTGTGCTGGCACTATTTTTGGCACTATTTTACTATATACTTTGCCAGAATGAACTGTGAAGATGTTCTCGACTCATCTTGCTGTGGAAAAGGATAGTAAAAGCAACCCCAGAGGTACTTTGTTCAGGTTCTGATAATACAGCTAGCCCAGGAAGAATATTTTTAAGAGTTAAGATTGCTGACTTGTCATACAGATCACTTAGCAAACGGTTGAATGCTGCCTTCATAAGGGGTAACTCCAAGTTGTGTGGAACAACTTTGTTTGCCTTTAGTCATGTAATGTGAGTGGTTCTGTGGTAGCTTTATGAGCTTATATGCAAGCTTGCATTGATTCAACAAAGTGTTTAGGCATTAAATTCTTTGTATGCTAAAGCCCTATAGCTATTGCAGCACCTGATGTACTGAACTTCTAAGTTCTCTCTCCTGGATTATGTCTCTAACCTGAAATGAAGAGGTTTGGGGTTGTTTTTTCCATCTTCTGTTAATAGGTAATCTAAAACTGTATACTCTAATTCTTCCCAAGATAGGAAGATACTCTTTTGAGGGGTTGACAATCAGCGCTGCTCTAGATACAGAGGTACTCCAGGAAAAAAACCAAAGGATCAGAACAAAGGATACTAATTTCTAATATCCTAGTTTTGTTTGTTTAGATAAGTAGTTTAGCCCTTACTGATTTGAGTTTTGGAGCAAGTTGGGCCTCTAGAAATCTTACACTGACCAGGACTTAAGAGAATCTGAGGCACTGAAGCATTGTACAGATGAGAAAGAAGTGGTTGAAGGTTTCAGCTTGTTCCTCTGTGCTCAGTGGTTAACATCCAAATACTTAAGCTCCTAAGCATGAAAGAAGAGAGGAGACAGTTTAGCAACTTGCATAGGAACTGGCAGTGGGGAAATTCAGTTGTACAAAGGCTATCTTTCTAATTATACAACTTGGCATTCATGGTGGATGGTTCATAGTAACTTCCTCAGCCAGAAGCAGTTCATGAGAATAATGGCTGACAGTCTGCTACTGCTCATGATAAATGATGTAACAGTTTTGTATTCCTTGTTTCTGGTTGGTTTGCTGTAGTTGAAATTTTAGCAATAACATTCTAGTGTGTGCTGGTATTTGAACTTTGGCATCTTTTACATTATATCTAGTGAATAAGCGAGTAGTCTACTACACTCAGATTTCTTCAAATAGGAGAGCATAGTTGTTGCTTTACCCTGTTGGTTACCAACTTTTATTTTGGTACTTGAATTTTCTACTCGATTTTTAAACATGTACAGATAGCTTGGTGTCATAGGTTGGTTACCAGATATCATTATCTGATGAGTAGGGTATAGTTTCATTGACTTTAAGATGGGACAAGTAGCCATTGTGCCTGTCTCTATGCCACCCCTTTCCATGTGGTAGCAGGAGCATTTGTATCATCTAGTATTCTTACCAGCCTGGTTTTCTGCAAGCTTACGCTACCACACAGCTGCTCATGTGAGGCTGAGAAGAGGAGCAGGGACTGTGAAAAGTGATGTGGACTAGGGTTTCTTCCTTACTATAAGAGATGCTGAAGTTGTTTTAGACTGCAAATAAACTATGGCCTTAGTGTGAAGGCCCACTATGAATTCCCTTCTCATAGCTCCTTAACTACTTAAAAAAAATTGTAAAGGCTTAATGAGTTCATGCTTGGGATAAGAAAAACTGATTTAGGGTTCATGTCTGCAGTGGTAGCAAAGTATTAGTTTAGCTACACTTGAACCGTGTTTGATACTTGTAGCCCTCTGTATGCTGTCTGCTTTGTGACAGCATTTCATTTTTTTCTCAGTATCACTTAATCTGAGAGAAGAATGGCTGCTGTCAGACCACAGGATGAAGTATCATCTTTATTCTTCATGCATGAAATAATGAAATTGTAGGCTGTGGAGATGCATGGAGTGGAGTAGTGATGGTAGTGCTTCTACTTGTTTCAAAACAGTTGTGCTGAACATCTCCCTTACCTTGGAATGGATATAATCAAAAGTGTCATTCACTGTTTATTCCTAGAATGCGTGGTGCTAAACAAAGTGGTGTGGCTGAAAGCTCTGAACTCGGGGAAGCAGCAGGGAAGTCAATTACTAACATAGGCTGGTTGTCCTGTTTTTCAGTGTGCCTGGTGTACTGATTAGCTGTACAGAGTCTGTTCTCTTTTCTTCTCCAAAGGAAGGACAGTACCTACCTCATAGGAGTGACCCAAGGGCTGTTTCAGGAGTGTTTTGAAGTTACTTGAGACTTGCACAGTATGCTTCCATGGAGATAGTAAGGCATAGCACTAGTGTAGCTTGATGGTAACTGCATAGATTGACATTATACCAGTTAATCTCCTCACTGAACAGAATTTAGCAGCTTAGCAACTAAGACTTTTCTTAAATACACAGAGGAATTGCAATTAACTTAGAAAGATCTTTCTGGCTTTGCTCTGTTTCTGCAAGAGGTTATACGTGGGCTAAGTAACATTCTTCTGACATTTTTTCTTTTATCTAAATTTTCCCAGGGATTTTTTTAATCAAGCGATATAGACGATTGTTTGTATAGATACAATCAACAGTCCGATTAAGAATGACTGATTGTTCTGGAAGATTAAGTTCAGATGATGTACTGCAACTGAAATGTTAAATTAACATTTACTTTCTTACCTGCTGACTTTCATTTGTAAGTGAGATCAGATCTTTTGAAAATGGCTGCAGGTTTTTTGTAAAGTAAACTTGATTTTTTTTTTTTTCTTAGTATTGTGTAGCTTTTTTTTAATAAAGCATGAATATGGCACCGAAAAGCCTGAGTGGTATGCTGGTGCTCTTTTCCTTTATAAGCAACCCATAGTAGCAAATATACAAAGAGTGAAAACATGCTATTCTTAAAAAGCTGCTTTTCTACAAGTGTATTTGGAATGGGAATAACAGCAAGGAGGTACTCTGTGATGTTTTGGACAATGGGCTAACATTAAGATTAAAATTATTTGTAAGAATAAGGGAAGACCCTGGGAAAATGTTTGGTAAACTCTTGAATCCTGATTTGTTAAAACAGCCATAGTCACCTCCATTTCCAGAAAGAATAACCTATTGTTAAACAGTAGGCAGTGTGAAAAGGATCGATTAAGATGCTTAAAGGCTGCTGAAGCACAAGATTATAACAAGGCCAAATCCCTGTAGCTTTAAAGGCCATGCTGTTGTCTGACTAAGAAAACAATAATATTCTAGGCAGTAGTACTGCAAGTATCGGTTCAAGCAGGTGTACTGCATCCAATCAGAAGAGGTAAGACTTGCTGGGGAAAAAAAATCTAACCGAAGCAAAACAAAAGTGGCTTAAAAATAAAGGCTGCTGAGATGCCTGTATTTGTGAACTACCTCTGTGGATAAATAAGGGAAAACTTGAAAGCAGATGTGTTAAGATGTGGTTTTTAGCTCCCGGAGAACATAAAAATAACTCTCAAATTTGAAGTCTGCCTTATCTTTCTCTGAAAAGATTGAGACCAATATGAAGTCTCAGATGTATTCCTTTTAAGCCAGTTGTTGAAGTCTTTGTTTCAGTAGGCTATCTTTCTGTACCCTTGTGCTAGTAGTCTTGATTATATATTTATACTAACCAAGAGGCAGTAAAATTTCAGCATTACAGCATTCCAGTCCCTTAACTGGTGAGGTAAAACTGAAACCTCTTTCCTCATCGCTTTTGGTCCGTTCAGCTTACATGGAAACCATATCTTGTCTTGCCTTAACTGAGATTTCCTTGTGCCACTGAAATTCACATCATGAAATGGTAACTTAAGAGCTGGCTCTTTTACATACTGAAGAGAATAGTTGGAATTAATGTACATAGCCACACAAGTGTCTGAAC